ATGTGTCATGTGTGCGCTCCGCTGCGCTGACATCCCAGAAACACGGGCGGACCGGACCACGGCGCGTACAGAGTATGTGTGAATTGGGGGTAAGATAGAAGCCAAATTGAGTCACAGGGTGACTCGAGGTTTCCATCTTCTACATTTTACACAACCTTTTTCAGCATATACGCAGCAGTACACTGGCTCAAGGGGAGGATGTCCTGTTCTCACCCGGGTTATACTCTGAGGCTGGGACAAACCTGCTGCTGCTAAATATGACTGCATGTATTATATGATGAATACATCACTGATGCCTACGCTCAACCAGTCCATCAATGGTTTGTTGTTGGCTGTAAGTTGTTGCTTGGAAGCTGGAGAGAGAAGGAAAGGAGGAGAAGGCTTGTGATGAATGTGGTGGGCATCTCTCCCACACTGGAATCCATGAAGAATTATCGTTTACGTTTGCAGCAGTTGTAAGATTCCTGGCAGCATTTAGAAGTGACCTGTTTTGATTTATCTCTCATTAATCTCTCTTACTTTTTGTCTATAACTATGGCATCCATGCCGACCTTCCTCTGTCACACACATGCTTTTCTCTAGCCTACATCGCTCATGATACATCCTTCTGCCTTGCTTGGCAATGCAGTGTGAATGTCAAAGCTTCTGCCAGCCACTCTGCACCATAAAGTTCATATTCAACATGCACTCAATCATCGACTGAATGAGGAAAACCTGAGGCGAGTTCTGTCTGACTTCCTTCACCTTTCAAATAAGGCCATGTATGTGTTTGTAAAAACTAAAGATATTTGTTGAACCAAAGAGAGCAGAAAAAAAACACTGTGCTTTTCAGTCAGTCAGTCAGTGATGTCACCAGACCTATTTTAGAACGGTTAAGCCCTATTAGTCTTTTTTTCAGTATTCTCATTGAATAATGAATTTGGCTTTTTCTGGCTGATTTATAATGCATAAACATATGATACATTTTAAAGAATTACTCACTAACTAACTTCTTATGAAACGTCACTGATAGTAAGACCCAGTAGGAAGAGCATGTGCTGATAAAAAGGTACTTTTTTTTTGGTCATCTTCTTTAATAAAATAATTTTATGACTGCACATGCAATTTATAATGTCTAAGAAAGGTAATTTATTATAAAAGTGTAGCACAGTTGAATGGCTGAGAGAAGCCACGACTGAAATCCTGTCACACTATAATCCATCAACCCCATATGCTCATCAAAGACGTGTTATCATTGTTCCCTAAATAAATGGATAGCATAAAAAGGAGGTAGCACAAGCAAGTGGTTTCATTGTACAAAGCATATATTAAAATTATTTATGCACAATGTTGAGACAGCGATTTGAAAAGCAGCATTGTGCTTAGCACGCAATAAATGATTTTCTGGGGTGGTTGACTGACTTTGATATGTTGAAACATTTTTTAACTGGAGTTAAATTGCACAAGAAGGCCTTACAATGTAGGATTTGAGTTGGACAATTGTTTAACCCATTTTTAGTAAACGTTCCTCTGAATTGCTTCAAGTTTCCTGCAGATGAGTGGGCTGGATTGTAATCAAACTTTTGTTTTTTTAATTTTTGAGAAAGGACACTGTGATTTTTTCTAGTGATTTATTCCCTTCTAAAAATATGAACATTTTACAATAAATGAAAAAATCTACTTTTTAGCCGTTGTCAATGCAGTGAGTGTGCATGTACTCTCGATGAGAGAGCGAAATGAGCTATATTAGCAAGACAGCTGATGTATTTATTTTAAATTTAAACCAAAACAGATGATCTACCTACCCTTACATTTATTTCATTTATAGACTGCTGCCTGTGCACCTACTGCATTGACCTTACAAAGGGATCTTTATAAATTCCATAAAACTACTGGACTACAGCTCCATTTACATGTTCCTATTCAGCATTATACTGTATATGACGTACATGTAGGGGTCGATGGTGGTGCAGCGGTTAGCACTGTTGCCTCACAGCGAGGAGGTTTCCTTGTTCGAATCTCCATCAGACAAGGCCTCTCTGTGTGTGGAGTTTGCACGTTCTCCCTGTGCATACTTGAGTTCTCTCTACTCCAGCTTCCTCCCACAGTCCAAAGACATGCTCTTTGGTAAACTGGTGACTCGTAGCTGTGAATGTGAGTGTGGCTGGTTGTCTGTCTCAGTTCAGGTTGTACCCTGCCTCTCGCTCAATTACAGCTGGGATCAGCTCCAGGCCACCTGCAACCTGAACGGGAAAAGCTTTTTACTATGCTGATGACACAATGTTTTATCTTCCTGTGCAAAACACAAGATAGTCAGTTTGATAAGGAAGTATTTGGGGAATGTGTGAAGTCCTTATACTACACTATGGTTTAGCACTTACAAACTCTGGCAACTTAATTAGGAAATGAATAATAGCTTTAACTAAAAGACAGCTCTGATAAATATAAAGTGATGGATATGTATTATGGCTTCTTTAATGTAACATGTAGTCATCTGTAGAGGGAGTAGTATAGAGCCATGTGCAGAGTTACTGTGTTTAGTGTGAAAGTTCTCCTGCATCATAAACGAGGAATTCATTCAGAAATGTTGCAGATCTTGCTCTTCGTTTTTTTTGTGTTAATCTGGGTCATTCTTTACTGTAGTACTCTCTACCAGACAACGACAAGGCAGTCGATAATCTGTTACGACAAGAGTATTTTCCCTATCTCGCTTCATCTAATTCCTTCACTGAACACGTAAATCCAATTTCCCTCCTTTTGTTGTCAGCAGAAGGAGGTATTGTTTTACTTTGCAAATTGACTTTTCAGCTGCCATGATTTGGATTCTGTTCTGCTGAATCATTTTTTTGTCTTTTTAAGGTTCAGTCTTTTGAAGCAAACAAGTAAGTCGTGGAAGAAGATTCAGGTTCCTTATCTAATAAATAGTTATTTAGAAATCCAGAGCAGTAGTTTTTTTTTGTATTTGTGATTATTATTAACAGAATTTCACCTTGAAAAGACATTTATTTGTCTGAATAACACGTTTATTTATATCAGAATACTTTAAGAGCTGCCCTAAGAGGATCAGCCTGGTGTGTGATCCCTGACACTCTTGTCTAGTCCCCCGCATGAAGGCACATTTTTGCTCCATCCTCAGGTTTGGCTGCTTGGAATTTGAATTTTGTAATTGAAAAATAAATGGAGTCAGTAATCAAGCTATTAATCAGGAGTAACAATAATAGATACATCCCGATAGAACTATAGTCTCCAAGCGCTCTTGTGAGTACTCTATCTAAAAATTAAAACCTTAGTTTTCATAGTTCTTTTCATAAATCATTTTCAGGTTTACTGTAGCTATTTGTAGCTCTACCACACTGACAGCAGTGTTTATCACTGTCATTTAACTGCAGCTTAAAACTCTAGCCCTTCCCTGCGTTAGGTTCACTTTTTTTTCTCTTCATGTTCCCATGGATTTTTCTGAATGTGCTCCAGATTCCTCCCACATTCAAAACATTCAGGTCGGGTAGATTAAAGACTCTATAAATGTTTCTCTATATCTGTGTTATCTCTGTGACTCACTACCGACCTGCCTAGAGTGGTTCCTAGAAAGGGGGGAAAAAAAATCTGCTTTCTGTGACAGTGATGAAACATAATGTGTAGGGATGGATTCTGACAACAATATGATAAGCATAAGGCCGGTGAGCCTGTCATTGCACTGCGGAAATATGAATGTTCTGATGCTAATTTTAAAACGTTGCCCTCTTTAACTGTAGCTGAACATATATGTTCATTGTCATATGTTCAGAGTTCATTTTTGAAGATGGACAGGGCTGCTGTATGTAATAGATGTTTATCTCCACATATATCTACTTTTATTAAGATTCATTTTTAGGCTTTTTGGGCTGTTATTGTAGAGACAGGTCAGTGGATATAGTCAAGAATCAGGTAACGAGAGAGTGAAAAATGACATGCAGGTCAGATTGGAATCGGGCCGCCTTGCTTTGAGGACTATAGCCTCCATACATGGGGCGCGCACACTAACCAATAGGCTATCGGCGACCCAATCTCCACATACAGTATATAGCTTTATATAGAGAGAGGAGACTCTTGATGAACATCTCAATAATTCAGACAAACTTAAGGGCTAAGTGTTTTTTGATTGATGAACACTTCAAAAATACAACTTCTCTTACAGTTTATGACTTTCAGAATTTCTAAGTTTGTACTCTCAATAGAACGGTTTTATTTCTCAGTTTACCTCAGAGGTAGCTGGGTTGCTTTGTTGTCCCCTACTTCTGCTTATCATTCATAATGTATATCTTGCACCTCCTTAAACCATGACTCACTGAACAACCATAAACACAGAACAACTTTAGGGAATACTGGAATGATAGAGTGGGACAGGAAGATAACATACACTAAAAAAAGTTATACATCTGTCATTTAGTCAAAACTGCCATAGTAATCATCTTTCTTGCAAATCTCAGTCAAAGAAGCATTGTTGTATTTCCTCAGCTTCCTCTGGCTGAATCTCAAAAAGCTGCTCCCCTTTTGCCTGGTTTATTTGACATCCCAGTCACATACGTATGTGCCTTTGGGGAACTGTGGATTGTAATCAGACATTTTCAGATATCTTGACTCAATTGAAGGTCTGGCGGATGGCAAACTTCCTTATTATTTATGTCCCCTGCAGTCTAAAATATAAATCACACAACACGGCAGTCATGGCTGCTTTTCTTCCCTACCTTCTTCCTCACGCAATGAAACAGCACAGATTACTGTGGCTTCATCATGATTTTATTTAATGTGACAAAGATTGAAAGATTGAGGAGGAAACATGCACCCAGAAACAAAAAAAAAAGCAGTAAGAATTACTGTATGGATGTAGAAAATGTATTATGTATATCTATTTGTGATATGTAAGTACAACAGATTTGGTTACATTTTTAAAATCTTTTAATTTGCCTTTTTTTTTTGCAGTCATAACAGTAAGACCAAAAACTAACATATCTCTTTCTCTTCTGTCTCTTATTTCCTTTCAGTGAGCCAGAATCCTCTTTCCAGAGAGTGAAAGACCAGCCAATGAATTATGAATGTTAAACAAGATGACCTCCTCTCAGCAGCAGCAGATGATGCGAGGTCCTAGGTGGAACCGGGCCTTGTCCGACCCTTTGTTTGTGCTGCTCCTGGCCCTCCAGCTGCTCGTGGTGGCAGGGCTGGTACGTGCTCAGACGTGCCCCTCCGTCTGCTCCTGCAGCAACCAGTTCAGCAAAGTCATCTGCACCAGACGAGGCCTACGGGAAGTCCCTGATGGCATCTCAACCAACACACGCTACCTGAATCTACAAGAAAATCTCATCCAGGTCATAAAGGTGGACAGCTTCAAGCACCTAAGACATTTGGAGATTTTGCAGCTGAGCAAAAACCACATACGCAAAATTGAGCTGGGAGCGTTCAATGGACTGGCTAGCCTCAACACCCTGGAGCTTTTTGATAATCGCCTCACTACTATCCCAAATGGGGCATTTGAGTACCTGTCCAAACTAAAGGAGCTTTGGCTGAGGAATAACCCCATAGAGAGCATTCCCTCCTATGCTTTCAACAGAGTGACTTCATTGCGGCGGTTGGACCTTGGGGAGCTCAAACGGCTCTCTTACATCTCTGAGGGAGCATTTGAAGGACTGAGCAATCTGCGGTACTTAAATCTGGGAATGTGCAATCTGAAGGAAATTCCTAACCTTATTCCCCTGGTGAAGCTGGATGAGCTGGAGATGTCGGGTAACCAGCTATCTGTCATCCGACCTGGCTCCTTCAAAGGGCTTATCCATTTGCAAAAGCTATGGATGATGCATGCCCAGATCCAGACCATAGAAAGAAACTCTTTTGATGACCTGCAGTCGCTAGTGGAGCTCAATCTAGCCCATAACAACCTTACCCTATTGCCCCATGATCTCTTCACCCCTTTACACCGTCTGGAGAGGGTGCACTTGCACCACAACCCGTGGAATTGTAACTGTGACATTCTTTGGTTAAGCTGGTGGCTTAAGGAGATGGTACCTGCAAACACCAGCTGCTGTGCCCGCTGCAGCTCACCGTCCCACCACAAGGGACGATACATCGGTGAGCTGGACCAGAACTACTTTCACTGTTATGCTCCTGTTATTGTGGAGCCTCCCACGAATCTAAATGTGACAGAGGGAAGCGCTGCAGAGTTGAGATGCAGAGCAAGCTCCTTGACCTCTGTAAGCTGGATTACACCCAATGGTTCCATCATGACACACGGTGCATACAAGATCAGAATCTCTGTGCTGAACGATGGCACTCTGAACTTCACCAATGTTACCATGCAGGACACTGGCATATATACATGTATGGTCAGTAATTCTGCTGGTAACACAACAGCATCAGCCACGCTCAATGTGTCGTCTACAGAGAACAGCAGCTTCAGCTACTTCACCACCGTCACAGTGGAGACCATAGAGACGCCGCATAATGAAGGCTACACCACAGCCGTGCAACAGAAGGTGGGCCCCACTCCCTCTGCTGGTACATGGGACTCTGTTTCACCCACTTCTACAACCACTACTACCACGGTCCGGACCCCACTTTCCACTCGTGCCACAGAGAAGACTTACACAATCCCTGTGACGGAGCTTGGTGGGGAGGGCTCACTGAACGGCTTGGATGAGGTAATGAAGACGACTAAGATCATCATTGGCTGCTTTGTTGCAATCACACTCATGGCAGCTGTCATGCTGATAATCTTCTACAAGATGCGCAAACAGCACCACCAGCAAAACCATCATGCACCCACACGCACTATCGAGATCATCAATGTGGATGAGGACTGTGTAACAGGAGGCCCGGGCATGGAGGGCCACCTGACACTGCCTCCACTTGAGCACGAGCACCTCAACCACTATAACACTTATAAGACTGCATACAACCATGCAACTCTCAACTCCATACACAGCTCAGTGCACGAACCTTTGTTAATTCGGGCCAGTTCAAAAGACAACGTACAAGAGACCCAAATCTAACACTTTTTTCAAAATGAGACATTATAAAACTGAAGGAATAACATAAAGACATTGGTGAACAGACTTAGATGACTGTTTGTGAGGACTATGGCCCAACATGAAGGAACAGAAACGTGTGTTGGGCAAATCAGTGGCTGGTGATATTTGTTCAATGACTTTGGGAACTAGGGTATGTCTACTGTTTCAAAAAGTGTCTTTACAAAACAGAAGTTATTTATTTAAGAAAAAAAAAACTATTGTGGTTAAATCAAGAAAAAACTGTATTCTGCATTATTTTTCCAGCACTTAAGTCATTTTTCTTTTCTTTTTCCTCTTATTTCACAGTATTGGTTTACTAATATGCCTTCAAACTCTTTGTGAAGACATCTGTCGAAGAAAAACTCCTGAAGCAAATTATTGTTAATCTTTGAAAATTTCAGACTTGGGATCAGATGAGAGAGTAACCTCGTTCTGCCCCATGTCAATCAAAGGAATCTAGAGCACATTAGTGATTTTCTCCAGCTGTGGATTAAGTGATGAGATCTTTTTGCTACCATCTGTAACGGAGATGAATGAACGCATGTTCATTATTTTACACAACTGTCAGTCAGTAGATTTGATCACAACTCACTCTTTAATTATATCTGTCACATACATATTAGACACTCCTGCTCTGTTTTCTATAGACTGAGAATCTTTAGTGAGGATAATATGTCCTGCCTTTTGCTATTATTAGTGTCGATGCTCACTATGAGAAGAACATTTAAGTTAAAATTAAATTCTGTTGATTAACTATGAAAGAAGCTCATGTTTGTCTTTGTGTTTCTAGTGTATATGCAAAAAAAATCAACTCATTTAAGTTACAAGTGATTCTGATACCCCCGAACATTTTATTGATTGCATTTAGACTGAATAGAGTTTAAAATGATACAGGAGCAGCGTTACATTACATTATTCTTATTGAAATTGAGACAGATATAAAAATCAGAAAGAAGGCTTGTGAAAACCGTAGATGTTAAAAGTGATGAAAAAGCCCAGAAGCTCAAAATATTTCAAATATATTATGGCCTGACCTCTACCATACAATTATTTGTACTGTTGCATTCGAAGATGATAGCTTTGAAGCCACCTTTTCACATTGAGAGTCCTTGAATCCCACTGATGGACTGAGAAAAGAGCGTTAACCCCTTTATGCAGCTGTCTGATCACATCGCCTGTCATCTGCCAGCCACAATCTCACATGGGCATCATCTGGCAGCCCCATATTCACACCCTGCTCCAGCCAACCACAGGACTTGGCCCTTAGCTGCAGGGCTTAGTCTGTGGGAGACTTTAAGGGTGGATGTGTGGGATCCGGCATCAACCAGATGTTTAGGATGCACCTGCCTCTCTCCCTCTCCCTCAGCGACATCACAATTTACATTTTAATTGATGTGCCTGCAGGCTGTGGGTGGACACAGCTCTCCAGGCAGCCATACCCTGGAAACCATTTCAGAGTCCCCTCCATGTAAGAAAAAACAAACAACAAAAAAAAACCACCAGGCATCTGATCAGAAGCAGAGGTTAGGCAGACATTTGGTGGATCCAACACTTGAGTAAATTCTGGGTATAAGAGGTCAGGTCACAACATTTTCAATTCAGCTTTGTGTTTTTGCCATATACGAAGGGGTTTTGGACATCAATTATATTGAGTGGAATGCCACATACAACTACTGTTGTAGAAGGTGGCAGGGGCTTTTTATGGATAAACTATGTTGTGAATTTCAAACACTGAATTCCTAAATGTTGGAAAAGGATTGGTGCAAAATACCAAATTTAACATTGGACAGAGGCTGTGATCATTGTGGATTTGTGGACTCGCAGTGGATTTCAAAGAGGGGTTTCATCGCTGAATTGATTGACACATTTGAATAATGTTCCCTGAACTTCTCCAACTGTAAACAAAATCTCTGCTGCCTACCTGTACTATCCATCTGTTTAACTAAATGACAACACTGTCAGGGTCTTATGAGATGTAATGTTCTTCAGACCATACTTGTTGCAATTCCAACATGCAAGTTTCCGTCACAGTTGAGTGAAAGTTTGATAAATATGTAATATTTCACATTCGAGAATAAAGATTCATTAAGAAAATGTGGCCAGGTGGAATTTACCATGGACCTCGTAGGGACAGCTTTGAAGTTTTCACGGATGAAATATCCTCACACAAAAACTGGTGAAATCAAAAACAGAAAAGCTCCCTCCCATATGTTAATGGTACACATCTCCTAAGCAGGGGGAATGAATGAGGAAGTAAATATTCATCCCATTACTAGGATTTGAAAATAGATTTAAATGAAGCAACAAGATTATAGTCTTAAGCCCTATTCACACAGGAGTTGTAACACCTGGTGGTTTTCTGTTGTATGTAATACAATAACTGCATTGATTATGCTTGTCAATAATCTATGCCGGTAATCTAAAAACTCTGCAGCAAATTACCTCCTTTTATTCCATGTCATACAGAGTTAATTGGATTCTTTGTGAAAGAGAGTAATTAAATCTACTTTATTTCCTGTATATTTTCTAGATTAAGACTTAATCGTGGCCTCAGCAAAAACTATAAATAGAACTTTCATCATCACTTGAGATGCAAATACAGGAGAATAATGGTCAGTTTGATGCACACCTGTATGTTACAAGATGAATTGATGAATGCAATAACTCTGAAAATCAAAGTGAAAAAACAACCCTCTTTATTTTACTTTGTATGTGCTTCACACATCAAAGAAGTGGTGAGTAGATTCCTAATTATGAGGTCCTCCAGTATAATTAGTCCAGACTGAATAAGGTTATTGGTTACCTCATACTATACTTTATTTGTCACCTGGACACTGTTCTGTTTGTAATTGCACTTCTGTGGAGTTTGGGACATTTGTAAACCATAGACTGTCCAGGGTTTGTGCCATTTAGTCTGTGTTTGGGTCCCTAGTGGTGGGATGTGGATCACAATTCTACTCAGTTCATGTAAGAAAGTAATTGTAAGAAAGTTAACCATCTTCCCTTTCCGCCTTTAGTTGGAGGTAAATTGTCTGAAAATTTAAAGTCGTAAATTTGTTGCATCTTAGTCGAGCTGTCTCATGTATGTAAGATATCTAAATATTTTGGTCAATATTTTTTTATTTGTTTTCCCACATTCTTTTTTCGTTCTGTTTCTGAGATTGAATGCCGTTTTAGTGGTAGGTTTATATAAAAACACATTTTGAGAATAAAACAAAAGAAAAAAAATTAACATTTTACATGTGCCAACAACCTGTTCTAAAAAGTGCAACAAGAGAAACATGATGTTAAAGAATACCAGACTGATTTTCATGTAAGCATTCTTTAATGACCTTTAAAAGATATGGAGATCGATTATAGAGACCAGAGTTTGTAGTTCATACACAAAATATGGTTCAAATAAACTATTGTTGTTTTTCTGTATTGTCTGATTCTTGTTTTTATACAGTGATGACGGTATATGTATCAAGATAAAAACAGCACAACACTGCAGTTCATTCTAAAGAGATAAAGCTGCAGAAAACAGTATTTTATATATATATATATATATATAAGTATTTACACACCATCTACACATTTCTCAAACTTTGAATTACCAGTAAAACAGATAACATATTACAGTTCAATACACGGGATAAAAACTTAACTTTAATTAATGAGCTAACATGAGTGGTTTATTTACCTTTTCTACTTGTTGTTGATACATGGTGGTCATGCTTTATTTTGTATGATGAAGTAAAGTGTTCTTAACGTGTGTGTAGCTGTACAATGTTTGATATATGATACATTTGGTGTTTAACTAAAAGTCATTTGCAGCAAGTACCATAAATATACAGTCAGTGGGCACATTGTCATTCATACCCAGCAGCTTACAGGGTTGATAAGGCTGAATATGACTGAAACACAACACACTTGTACACACAATGTCAGAGTGAGGGGGCTGTCCACACAAGCACTCCTGAGCAGGTGGGGGTTCGGTGTCTTGCTCAAGGGCACCTCATGCTCAGGAAGCGAACTGGCACCTCTCCAGCTACCAGACCAATTTCCAGACTTGGTCCACACTGGGTCCTGAGCCAGCGACCCTCCGGTTCCCAACACAAGTCCCTACAGACTGAGGTACTGCCGCCCCATCATATAGCATGATTATTCATTGCCTTTTGCTGCGCCATCAGTAACTGAAGCAGTACTTGTAATACTCTACATACAATTAACCAAATAACAAAAGAATATAAAAAGATGAGATAGGTAAAATAGGAGAATACATTATGACGGCATTTACAAGACACAGGATTTTGTGCAAAGCTGACCAACATACACACCCTCTACCAGACAGGTAAGCACTCGTTTGGCTTACATCAATGTCACCTGCAGTAGTGTATGTTTAACAGTGAAGACATGAATCCTATGATCTCACGCTACTCATAACTCAACTCCTACTGTTGTTCTTTGGCTTGAGAAATTTCCAGCAGCAGCAGAAGTGAGGTACTACATTCATTAATAAAATCTCATTCAGTGCACTAGCTTCTTACAGTATGTCTGTCTTTTAACTGTTCATCAGTGCTTCAAACCTAAAAACCCAGAGAAGTGAAAGGCTACACTAATGTGATAGCTTGAGGATAATTGATTAAACTGTATCAGTAAACATCATGTGATTTGTATTTTATTGAGAAGATTCAAGCACAAGACAAACAAGATGATTGAAAATAAATGAACTTCTCCATTCATAAGCTGTTATTCCAATTAGCCAAATGGAATAGGATTTCGATCATTATGTTGTCAATGAGACAAAACAAGTTCATAGTAACAAATGACTGAAGAATGAACAGAAGTTTAATGTTTTTTTCAGTTAAATAGGTTAATTACTTTCTTACTGAGGTAGGTATCAAAGCCTCAAGATTGACTGTAGTATTTATAAGCATAGGTTTATACACAGAGAGTCCATACAGGATTAACTACAACAAATACGGAATGAGGGGAGGGATAGCTTTCAGGTACTGCATCAGTCAATCACAGAACCAATCCATCATATCTGCTGGAGCCCAACAACTCTGCCTTTACTCTGTATCATTAATATTGTCTCTGTTCTCTGCTTGGCATTTTTTGTGTGATTGTAATTGTGTGAGAAAGACAAGAGAGGCTCAAATTAAGTTGTGCTTTTGTTTCCACAATAGAGGGCTTTGATTAGATGTATCCATCAGGGTTAAAGCTGCTTCACACAGCATCAATCAAAAAGGAATATTAACATAGAAATGTTTTTGTCATGCGGGGAATACAAAGCTGTCAACATCCACATAATAAGTGAAGTGAGGGGAATTTCCTGTGTAGACAAATGTGTTAATGATAATGCAATATATGATGATCGCATTTATCAACCAGCAAGTGTTAATAAACCACTTGTTGCAAACATTGTTAAACATGCTCATTGATCTAATTGATATGAAATGTTAAAGTCATTCAGGATAATATAAAAAGGTGACAAACATTTATTGGCAACGTTTTGATATGGGACCTTCATCGGGTGAACAGTTTGTCTTTGGCATTCTCTTAACCGGGAAGCTGATGTTAATTTGTTTGTTAATTTGTTGATGTTTATTTGTTAGTTAGATTTGTTGACGTCATACTGATGATTGGTTGCAGGCTTGGAGACACTTCCTGTTTAAGATGCCATGCCCATTTTTGAAGAACTGCTTGCCTGATGAAGGTCTAGTACCGAAACATTGCCAATAAATGTTAGGTAAGTTAGACAGTGTTTTTGATAGACACCTTGCTCTACTACACACCTGTCCAATGATATGGATGTTCTCTATTCTCATGATAATACCCATAATTATGTATCCATATCATGAATATTCTCTGACGTGAGAAACTTCTGTTAATGTTTGCCTTTAAAGGTCTACCAAAAAGGTAATTCATCCAACCCCATCACCTTTGCTGCACATTTTGTGCCAGCCAGTAACAAACAAATTGCAGCTTTCAGTCTACTCCTCGAGGCGAAAAAGGAGACATTACAATGTATGTATGTATGTATGCCAACTGGTCTGCTCTTTCAAGTGTGTGACAGGTTAGTTTTCATAATAGTTCCTTATTCAGAACACAGCCGAGAGCCTGTTCCACTGGCTCCTCACTAATGCGCAATTAAACTCCTCATTTTCTTATTTATTCTGCTCCTCAGGCTGGAGTAATTTAATGGGTGCTTTATGCCAGTGCGCTATTTGTGTGTGTGCTGGTGTTTCTCTTACATGTATAATATTCTAGTTTATAAAATATTTTAAAAAAGCAATGCAGGAGAGGTATGTCACTGACAAAGACAATGTTAAGAACAAGTAAGTTACAGTTGTCAATCAGCTGATTACCTCACAGTTAGAGTTGTTAACGTCACTGTGATGTGACCCAAGATGACCCGTATAAAGACATTTTAATGAGAAAAAATCATCAGAAAAGATCAAAACACAATTAGACAGAAGGACCAACATTTGCAAATACCAGAAGCTATAGATAGTGAAACTGTCAGACTATGTGGGAGATAACATCAGTTTAAAGTAGGTCACAGAGTCACAGAGCTGCCGGTGTTAGCTGAGGTGAAATACACAATATTCAGAGGTTTATATGACAAATACTTGGTGGTATAATGAAGGTATAGATAACTAAAGATATAAGATTTATGTGTCCCTTATTCGCTGCCTCCTCTGGCACCACAACTCAGTAGCTGCCCTTATAGTTATTTCTATATCATATGGGAGAAGTGACACTCTTGATGTGCTTTCTACCATAAGTTACACACGGTGGATAGCAGAGTATGGCCCCAAGTTATTCTAATTATATCAGACAGATGTATAAATTGTACCTAGAAAGCACTAAGGCAGTCACTGACTGCCGACTGAAAACATTTGAAAAGCAGAAGGTTTTAAGGCGCTTGATGTCAAAAGTGAGTCAGGCAGAGTCTGGCTGCTGACAGGTTCAGATGATGTGCTTTTGCATGATGCTAAGCACACTCTGTACTACTACCCTGTATTGTAGTCTGATGGCATATACCTTCATTTAATAACTAACAAGCTGTTCTACAAACTACAGAGACGGTAACCACTAAAACTAGACTAAGACAGTAGAGATGGCACCACATCAAAGAAGAGGAGATGAGGCCTCACTACCAGCATCTGATCACCTCATTTGCTATGCTACTCTTTAAGTCACTTAAAGAAAGTGCAAGTGGGGTTATGTATGGTATGAGGGCTATTTTTACAGCCTGTTCTGTGCAGGGTTAGTGACTTCATCCTTGCTGAACTAGCACATGCAAATTTCAGTACACAGTGTTTCCCATCAGAGCCTGTGAGTCACCTGTGTGGGTGTGTTATAAAACATTAAGAATAGGCTTTTTAAAAAAAAATTAAAATAAAGTGGAGCGTAATTTGATAATATGAAGGTCATACAAACTCAGGTTTCAAGAAAACATCCTACAGAAAAAAGATAAAGGAATCTGCATGAACATATGCCATGCCAAATAACAATGGAGGATTTGTGAAGGAAATCTGAAATGTAATCCTCTTTACAGTACAGAGGTTGAGTGGCATCATTAACAATGGGTCTCTTTGAACAATCCATCAACACTCATGTACCATTGTGGAAAATGTCAATGCAAAGAAATGGCTGTGCAATTTGTTTCTATTAGACAGTGTTTCTTAGAGATTTTACTAAAGGGAAATTGAAAAGTAACATGTGGCTTTTTATTCAAGCGTATGCCACTGAGAAGCAAGCCTGCATAAGAGCAAAGTGAGGGCAGAGCTCACCCATGGATGGATAGCTTGTTCAGAACAAAACCCAACGTACATGTGCAAGGAGGCATTCAACAGGTGATTACAATCTCAGTGTCTTCAAAGCTCATCGCTCTATAGGTGCATCTCATACATGCAGAAACTTTAGACAATTAGTGTGATTTTTGGGCTAGGAAGCGTTTTGGTTTCCATTTGTAGTCAAAGCCTTATTGTCTCCTACTGGAGCATTAGAGTGGGCATTGGCTGATTACAGGGAAACCAGTCCATGTGCAGAATGATGTAATACTGAAGCTGACGACCTACATCAAATGACTATTTCGCTTTTTATGAATCAATATAGAAACACATGTGCATATAAGTGCAGCTAACAATCCGTTGTTAGACATCTTGACTTAACTACAACTCCATGTTGGTTTTCAAGGTCAAACAAGGAACAATGCACAGAAAAGGACGTGATGGACTGTTTTCCTTTATTGCTAATTTTCGCTTAAACAGAACTACTAGAAGTCTACTATTGCGCTTTATAATTTCCAGATGATAGTTAATCTGTTCGGTTTTGAACATTATGTTACTAATAATTATTATTCTGCTGTAACTATTACAGCAAAGCACAACAACTTGTTAGCAGGCTGAAAACATAAACGGCATTGTA